TACAAATCGTCAGCTATTGGTCCCGCGGCACGGGCGAAACGCGGCCGGTGCGCTTGAAACGAGATAACGCGCGGGAAAAATAAACGCGGCTCTGAGAGATCGAACGTTGTTTCATGGTAATTTAATTAGATTTGCGTCTCGCTGTCTTTCGAAAAAGCTTACACGATTAATTACGGATACGCGTACACGCACACTGTACTGTACAAACGCGCGAGAAATTGTTGCCATCGCCTGATACGCTAAAGATTCCCGGAAAAAAGGGAATGCGTTATCTCCATTGCAGTATCTCATTTTTATCGGCGCGAGGATTGGAATTCCGTTTGCCCAGTCTCTTTTTCTCCATGCATCTCTACGGCTGCAGCGAATTTCTTAGTCTCGCACATCTGCCGTTCGTGGGGTCATATCGGTGCCTCTAATCTGTTCATTAGTCCTAATATACCGAGCTACCACACGTTTACTCCCCATCAGATATTACTCGTCGTGTCACTCAGCCTCGGTTTTACGACCTCGAGAATGAACCGCTCGTTCTAAAATGATCGGCGGTTGCAGCTAACTTTTTCGTCTTTCTTCTACAACGATGGTCAAAGAAAAGCTGGTTGAGTTGCGACAAGCGTATGATGCACGGAGAGAAGTTCCTCTTACAATTTATCCGGAAAAACATGCGATCATTGGGACAACGGGACATTTCGAAAAACTTTATGAGAGCTTTGTGAAATTTTACAAGTAAAATGTAGAATTACTAGTGAAATGTATGGCAAAATTTAAAAAAACTCATAAAATTCTTCGAAACACCGTGTTGTCCCACGATTACACTTTCGGGATAAATTAAAAGAAAATTCTCTCTGTGTACGTAAATAAATTTTTAGTTTATCCGATATGTGTCTGGTGTACGATTATTTTGGATAGACGTTCAAAAGCCGAGAATAGTGATCTTCGATTTAAATTCCCCTTGCTTTCCTTGTTGAATTACATATCGAATATAGTGGTTAGTTTGTCTTGCACGCGCTTAGGAATTAATCTGCTTCCGCGGATTAATTGCACCGTGTCGAGGGTAAAGGAAGCAATACGTTTGACGTGAAAAACTTAGTTATATCGGAAACAACCGGGAAGCCCGGCGGAGATAGATAGTAATTAAGCGGAAAGCATGATCCCGAATAATTCCTATCCGCTCGATGACGATAACAGGTCGAGGAAGGGCAATCCAGTCGCGGAACATATCTGCGGGCCCGCTGCCAATCGTCCGTACATAATTGGATATAGAATCGTGCGGCCTTTACTCGCGTACGCTCTTCCCTCCGCGACGTGCCCCCGTCCCGGGTTAGGAATGTAATTAGTCAGACGGGCACCGGGCACAATCTTGGCCGCCGATCGGTAAGTCCCTTCGTTACCGCTGATGCCTGTACGCCATGCCCTCCGAGATTGCCGCGTCCGAGATCGGAGCGATTGCCCAGTCGTAAATACGCGCGCGATAATTAAAATTACTGACTGATTACCTCGTCGGATTGCGCTTACGCGAGAGACATTTCGGTCTGGTGAGTGTCGGAAGGCCAATCGTCGACAGTGCGTTCTGTGCCACGAGCTTCGTATCTCGTCACTCGTACGAGTGTCCTGCTGTAGCGAATATCATCGCGCACCTTATCACACGGGGATAATTTTTTCTTCAAATTTGTCCGGAAAATCATGTAATCGTGGGACAACATGGCATTTAAAAGAATTTTATGCGTTTTTTAAATTTCACCATACATTTTACTAGTTGTATGGTAAAATTTCGAAAACTCTCATACAGTTCTTCAATATACCACGTTGTCTCACGATTACATGATCTTCAGGGTAAATTTTAAGAGAAAATTCTCCCCGTGCACTATTTGCAATAGGCGAAAGGATTAAAAGTGTCGCGACGGAGCTGTCTGTATCGCAGGCATTGAGGGAAAAGGTGAGAGTAACGCACTACTGTCGACCTTCCTTCCCACGTGCAATGAATATCCGGCCTTCTCCCGCGTTATCACATCGAAATCATTCTCGTCACTCCGCATCATCGCTTGACGACGACTAAGTACGTTCTCACGATTCCACAAAATGAAAGATCGAGTTGAAGTGCAATCTTTTTAAATTTCTCCGAGGGGAAAGATTTTTCTCTCTCCTCCTTTGAAATCCGTGTTACGTTTAATTATTATACACAGTCATAAATTATCCCCCGAAGATATATTACTTGAGAAAAGCCCCGAGCCCTGGCATGCAGTAGTCGAAAAGAAAAATTTGAGAAATAGCGTGCGAGAGAGAAGGAGCGAGGGGGGTGGGGGAGCAGCTTGTACGGGTGGAACGTGCGATAGGTACACAGCGGGGGACGCAGACGGGATTGCGTTGAACATCGTTTCGCGAGGAATCGTCGGTACCGATCCTGCTGTCGTTCCCCGTACTTCGCGCACGTTCCCCCGTAACAATAAGAACGAGTTCGCAGACGATCTCAGAATTCTCGCGTCCTGGGTCGCGCCGGTGGCTTCCCTCGTGACTCCGCACGCTCGCAACACGATGTTGTGTTATTCAAATGGACTCGAAAGAGAGAAATAAAGAATAAGCTTCCTCCTTGTAAAAGCGTTCCGATACTATCTCGGGCTACCGCTATCGCGCGTGTATATCTAATGCGTCAGTGAGGTCCCGTCTGTCCCTCTCTTTTTTTTTTGTATCTGTCGCTCGATACCTTCATAAAGCGAGTGACATCGCGTATATGAAAGGGCGGGAAGGGAGAAGAGCGGAGGAGAGGTAACAGTTTTAAATTACGAGGCAATTTGGGGCGGTATTTTTCATGAATGAAGTACTGCTGTTCCTGACGTAAAATCTGCGAATAAAAGCTACTAGGAGTGAGGATTTTACGATATTTATTAATAAAAGAATATTTATTAATAACAGTATCTTGTTTGAAAGAGAACGGGGGCTTTTATTCCTTACAGAACCGTAATACTGAGAACCAAAAAAGCATGGAAATAATTACCGTAGAACAGTAATTCCGAATGATTCAATTACAGAGTTTCCAGTAATTATTTCAGTGCTTTTCTCGGGTTCCCAGTATTACGTTTCTGCAGGGGATTTTACTCCACGTAATCGAAAAAATATCGAAGAAGCTACCTCGCGTTTAGAAACTACTTTCTCTTCTTACCGTTTGCTGAAAATTAATTATAACTTGCAAATTATTGGCGAGATTGGCGAGTTCGCCGTAGAAAAGGCATGGAATTTGTACAAGAGATTGATTGCTGTTACTCTGCCGTCAAAATGAGGTCAATGATCCCGGGACGTACCCGGGGAACATTACCAATCGGATAGAAGGGAGCAATGTTGCGACGAACAAGCGCAAATCGCAACGATGTGCAAATCGCGCGGCGCGATATTATCGTGGCAATTTCCGCCGTGTCATTCAGCCCGGTAGGCCTTTACTAGCCATCTTATTACTTGCACAGAGGAGCGAAATTATAGATTCTCCAAAGTGCAAGAGGGCGATTATACCATTATACCTCTGCGCGCGTGCGCACGCGCTCTCGTCCTGGGCGTAGGTATGCCGGTACATGTATAACGGTAACGCCGATCGTCTTGTCAGCTGACCTTACGGATATATCGCGAGGTACACGTACGTGCGCCCGTACGATATACCCGTGGTGGCCGATCTGCTGCCATCCGCGCTTCACCACGCCCAGCCGGAGGAAAGGAGCACGCCGGCGTCATGTTCGATGCCAAGATAACAACGGCGATTACCTTGAATAGTTGCGGGCACGAAAAGCTGGCGATTGTGGATCTGTAAAAAAAAGTACAAGTCGGACAAGCTGTATAAAAATGTATGATCGTCCTCGTGTTCCCAAACGAACGCCGATCAATGGCAGATGGGAGATTTTCCGAGCGATTTGACGTTTTCGCGAAAACGTCGAGTACGAAAGTGTCGGCCGTCAGTCGAGGACGACGGAATCTGCACGGACGGAGCTATCGGCTGGAGCTGTCGGCAATCACCTGGCATCGATCTTGTCTCTTACGGGTCTAATTAAGCGGAGCGTAAGCGTACGATTGATTCGCATCGCGGGATGCTGACGTTCTCCGTTAAAATGTTTCGCGTGGCGAATTAGCATAAACGTCAACGATCCGCGCAAGAGAGACGGGCAAAAACTCGTGACAGTTTTATCAGCGAACGCGTTGCGTATGCACGTGTGCGGCCGTTGGCTCGTGCACCACGCCTCCGTCGAGAAAAGGAGCACCGCACGATTCTACGGTCCTATACCGGTATTGAGATACTATCGGTCGGCATTGCGCTTAGGCCGCCTAGGAGTCCGGCTTTAATAGCCTGCAGCCACGGCAATCGGCCAGAAATCGCTCGTACCTCAGCTCGTTGTATTTTCGCATTCGCGCGTGCACGTGTGTGCGCACGTTTGCACGTCCATCGTGCACAAGAGAACGTTTCCTGGAGCAAAGTTTCCAGGTCGGAGAAAAACACCAATCGCCAGCGGATACCCTTTCCTGGCGCCATTTGCGTATTTTTTTTTTCACTCGTTATTTGTGCCCGTCGTTGTGCGCCCAGCGAAACGAACCTTCGTATCGTTATTTATTTGTTCGGATAATTGCTAATTGGATTACACACACGATGCTCGTTCGATTGCTCGGTTGATGAAGTCGTGGACAGTTCCGTGAACTTCTCGGGGCGAAAGTCCGTGTCCCGTGACAGGATGTAAACTCGAAATGTCGTGCCTTTGCCGTAATTTGTTCCCCCGAAGTAGCGTGACATCCCTGGCGATACGTCAAGATGTAATCTATCCCGGTCCCTAATTCTCATCAAGCGAGTCATTCATTCTTAATCGGTTAATAACGGCCGTCGAACGCGATCGGTGCGCGCCGACGACGATCGATCATTCGGCCCGATCCTCGGATCGACGTATCATATAATTACTGCGGCAGCTCCCGCGATTTCTAGCCGACCTCTCTCCCGTCGAATCTCTCACGAAATCGTTTTCTCTTCTGTGTTTCAGCAAAAGGTGAAGTTTTGGTTCGCCACGGGCGGTGCCGGATTCTGCATCAGTCGAGCGTTGGCGTTGAAGATGACGCCGGTGGCTGGGTGAGTCTCCTCCACCTCCTTTTCGCTCCACTTTCGTTTACGTCTCGTAGGACACCTAATATCGCCTACCAAATGTTACATCGTTCTCACTTAAAGAGTAATTGACATTTTTGTCTGTATTTAGCCTGAAATGAAAGAGGAAACATTTGTGTTTCATGTACAGTAGGTTAAAATTTAAACAATTTTCATCCACATTAAAAAGAATAAAAACGGCAAAATCGGGAGTTTGGAAAAATCTACAATAGCATCGCCTACAAATTTTTATAAAATCATTTATCAACATGTATGAGTTTGTGAAGCTATAGATATTTATTATTTTACATCATGCAAACGTTTGTGGAAGTCAAAAAGTTTTTAATTTGTGATTATGTTTAAAAAATGTTTCACACTATTTCGAAATATTTATACGTCGAGTCAATTTGTGCTCTTTTTATTCTTTTTTCATTCTATATTTATGGGCGATATCAGGTGTCTTTGCCCTGTACACCGAGAAAAAAAGTTGATATACCTAAGTTCTATAGAACTTGGTCCGAGTTCTAGTTTCGAGAAATGTGTAGCCAGTCAACGTGCAACTTTTATGGAATAGCTGCACGTTGATTGGCTACACATTTCTCGAAACTAGAACGTGGACCAAGTCGTAGCATCGTGGACACAGGCCTAGCGACGAGCGGTCCACGGGTTCGCTCGTACAACGATATCGGGGACCGGGGGAATAAACAATTGGCCACTGTGCGCCGTAAACGGCGATTTACGGCCAACGCAAGTGCGCGAACGCTTTTCGACCTTCCGCCGGCGCAATCATCCCGATGATCGCGCATATAAACGTCATACGTGCTAACTGCGGTGCCGGTCGAAGTGCACTTATTGGGGGCAACGTCGGTAACGGCAGACATAATTGACCGTCGTTACGAGTCTACGTAGCGATCGACGATTTTTTTTATCGGTACTCATTGCGCCGCCACGCCTCGGCGGTTAGCGGTTTTCTGCAAAGCCGACTTTTACGGGAGAAAGAAACTCCTATATGTAATTATCAGGTACAATGTTTGTATCAGATAGTCCGTAATAGATAGCGCCGATCGTTCGCCGATCGATCCAAGTAAGCGTGACTAGGCAAAGCCGCCGGCGTTATTTAATCCTCCGCTGCAGGTAGAAACACCATAGAATGGCGTATAGAAGAAGAGATGAGATAGTATTCAGGGAGGGACGTGAGCGTTAATATGCATTTTCACGTTACATTAAATCCCGAAAGAACTACAGCGATGTGCAGCGGTAACACGTGTCACACGTGTCATGCGTGACCGATCGCATTCTATGGAGATTTCTACTCTATGATAAAAAACACCTGCCGCAAAGAGAGAAAGAGAGAGATTGTAAGTTGTAGTCAATTATCTTACTCGGCGATTGTGGATTCTAACATTCGATAGAACAAGTCAAACAATTAAAGTTTCATACAATTGCAATACGTAAATACAAAAATGTTGCAACTATAAGCATCGTGGACACAGACCTCGCGAACGGAGGGTCACGATCCAGTTTTTCTGCGTCTCGTGCCTATCGATGTGAATCAGAAGCTTGAACTTCACGACCGCCCATGAAATCTCTTCACTTGATCAGCTCTTGATTCGATCGGTTTATTCCAGATCTCGCGGTCGTCCTCCTTGTCTTCCACCTGCGCATCCTTGTCCTCTCAGCCTCCTCATACGGATTCGGTGGCAGAACGAACGCGAATGGGTCCGGCAAAAAGAGCCAGCACCTGGGAGGGCTCGCGAATTAGTTGTACCTCCCTTTTCTCGTTTTTTTTCCCCACTCTAGCTTCGTCACGCTCCTCCGTCCGTCCTGCGGTATACACGGTCCCGGCATTATTCCGCCTCCCGGTACACTCGTTCGCTTCGCGCAGCGATGCGAATGGCAGGGACGGGGGAAGGAAACGGGGGCAAGTACATCGAACGGCTTTCTCATTCAGAGCTGCCGGACGATTCTCTCTCTCGTCGACACCATTTTATTTCGCCGGACGTAATCCGCGGCGGCTTTATCTGCTCGCGTGATTTATCGCGACTAAACGCCGGTCGATGATGGCTGCGTAATTTATGCTTATCGCTATAATTCGACACCCCGCTGCTGGGAATGAAGAGAGACAATAATATAATTTTTTTTTTTACTTCGAAGACGCTCGCGGCAGCTGCGCGAAGAGGTAAAACTTCGTTACCAGTCGCGCGTGAATTATTCCGCGAAATTTCCATACATTTTTCGTCGCGCTGCCTCGCGAGATACTCGCGACGCTCGGATGAATTTTACCGGCCATCTCTGGCGTCCCTCGTCTCCCGCGAGCCGCGTTTTACGTTTTACGTTACTTTTACATTATTTCAGACGCCGCCAGAGGATGATACCGAGGCGGCAGTAAGTACCGGCCGGTAATCCCACTTGTCTTTCTTTCCGGGAGCGGCGCGCAGTTTACGTTCATGCGTTTTAATTTATTCTGCTCAAAATGCGCTATGCCGTTTCGTACTTAAGAAAGTAACGGATATCACGCTGCCACTTTTCATTTTGCACGAGCGAACACTTCTCATCCGAGTTGTGAAGGGTAAAAACGCTCTCAGCACTTTTTCGTGCGCTTCTCTCTCAGCCTATTTAGGATTTTCTTATTTCGTTGTTAACAGGCTAGAAGGAAGGAAGGAAAATCGCTTTTAGTCCCTCTTTCCTGATATCTAGCTGAGAACGCATAACACAATTGTCCCCGCGTTTCAGCCTCTTCTATTTTCATCACCCCGGATCTCCTTTAGACAAGCTCTCGTGAAACAAAAGCGTTAGCAAATCGACTTACGTTTTCGCGCGGTTGGAAATCCTCCTTCTCCCCAGTTTGTACCATTGAGTTAAATGTCCCATTAATATGCTGTAATTGGAGATTTCTCAAGCATTTAATCTGCCCGCAGAAGTTACTTTTTATCCCGTGAATCGTCGATTGTGAAAGAGTAGTGTTAATTCCGTGTCATTCTGGTCATCCTACATTGTTTGACAAATCGGAGCAAAATCCACTTAAACTTGAGATTAGGAAACTTTGTTCCGATTGGCCAAATTTCAATCTAATCTCAATCCGTAGTTTAATACTGGCTCTGTGGTTTTTGCGAATCTCATCTCTTCTTTGAGTATTTGGACTCTGCTTGTTCTGCGGATCTTAGATGCTTTTCGATAACCGAATGCATTCAGGTATACTGGTTCTTGTACGACCAATTATTGTGGTCGGCCGAGCAGATTGTCCTTCGACTTCAACGAGTTCTCACGATTGTCATAAGATCCACCTCAAGTTCTAGTAGACGTTCCACTGATTGCTCCTGGGTTATCATACGTTCACATCCGTCCCGTTGGGTTCATTGCTATAATTCCTTTTCCATTGCATTTCTATTGCCACGACGTGTAGATTATTTACGCGTGTGGCATTGAAATTTAAACTTACTATAATTATAGCGGCTTCAGTATCCGCCGTAGAGAGAATGCAATAAATCCGAATTCGCGAAGCGGTTCCGTCGTCGCGTTAGCCATTAATCGAGCGACGAAGGGGGATAATGGTCAGTTATCTCGTGGCTCTCGCGGAAATGGATCTTAATTAACGGCGAACGCAAGGAGCCGCCGTTCGTTACAATGGAACTGGTGAGACGAACGGGTTGATTACCACCCACGTGCAGATGCAGGGAAGTGCGGCAGGAAGGCATGCGTGGAGCACGTTGCGTACGCTCGCTCTTATGCGTATACCTATATTTACATCATTTCCTTGTTAGCGCGGAGCGCGCACGCGGAAAGAGGAGGCTGAAGGAGGAAGAGGGCAATAAATAAGAGAGATTAGAGCGCAAGGAGACGATGAATGCCGCGCGGTGTTTCTACGACAGTTTCAGTTGCATGGCTGCGCGTGTATTCAGTATATTTTATAGGGTGTAGAATCGATTAGTATCGTTATATTTACATATTAGAGAAATAATTTAAAAGAAACACTTAAACCGAACAAATTTTAATACTGGGACATGTTATGAAGTCATTTAGTATTAGAGAATTAAAGGGTTTCGGGTCCTGGAGGTTATAAATAACAAAAGCTTCCTTCCTTCCAATTAATTGTATCTTAACTTTATGCATCTTACAAATAATTTAATTCCAGATAATATTTTAATACATAAATTTGAATGTTAAGAGCTTACGATCAATGATCGCCCCAAAAGCATAAAGGAGAAATAGGATCGATAAGAAATTTTATTGTACATATAAGCTACAGTTAGAATTGAAAGGAAGGGAGAGGAAGAAATAATTGTAAGACCATTCTGTATATAGATTCCAACTCGTACTATCATTTCTTGCTGTTCGCTCTCCCGTTTGCGTACTTTATCTTTCCATCCAGGAATTATCGGAGAATAAGAGCAAGAAATCACTAAAAACTATCCTCTCCCTATCGCTCCTAACTTTACGATCTTCGCGCGCATCGATTATAACGTTAACGTACCGAGGAAAATTGCGCAGACGAGAAATGAAGCAAAAATCCAAGTGCAACGCGAAACGTCAATATCCTTCATCAAATATTGAAAACCGGTGTAATCACGTCAAGCTGAGCTCGCGGTGCTTTAAAGGCCTCCGTGATCTTCACACCATCTCTATATTTATCTATGAAAAAGAGTTAACGCAATAATAGGCCACATTTTTGTTTACAATGTTGTAAAAAAATCAAGTCACAATTGAAATTGCACCGATTTCGGTAGCTTTCAAAATGCTGCAAAATCATGTCTCCTCTGCCTGTTGACTTCACCGCTTTGCACTTTTCCTTTTTGTTCGCCCTTTTTCGTTTTATTCGGTGCTCGTGTACACGCGTGCGTGTATGTGTGTACCTGTTCGCCGAGCATTTTTATTGGCCTTAAAAACTTGAAAGCGAGTGAGCGCACCTGCGAGTGAGCGCTTAGTCTCGCTCGCCGACAGCTTCCTCCTTTGAATCCGTTGGATTCCGACTTGATCGTAAACGGTTGCTG